AATTAAATTACATTACATTAAATTTTTCTTTCTCTTCATTACAACCACACATTCATCAAATAAAATAATATTACACACAAATCTAAAACTTTTCATTACTTTTCCACCACACATTCTCCCATCAATCATTATTCCAAAAATTTTCAACTATCAAAAATGCCAACAAATGGGGGCCAAACAATGGCTAAATCTACTATAAATTTTTAAATTAGTCTAGCTTCAATTTAAATTAAAATGGTAACTAATGATCAAATTAAGTTTTGTTTTCTAAACCAAATTCTAATAAATAAAATAACAGACTCAAATTAAAGCTATAGAGAAGATGATGTAATTGGATAGTTAGGATTTTCGATTTCATTTAGGTTATTTATCATACATTTAATTTCAATTTATTCAATCATTTGTCATACATGTCAAACGATCGAATTAACCTGATATAATTAGTTATCTCTCTCGAGCAACACTAATCATATTCATACACCCGAGCTTACTATATCTCTATGTAAATTCACACACATATGAACGCATTTATTTATAGGAATTCAACAAAAATCGCATAATTTATAATTATCTTTCGATCTCTTATAATGTCTATGTTAATTATTGCACAAGTTAGAATTATACATCACATCTCGGTCTCGGTATTATCACTTAGTCAATTAATTGTTGAGCAAATAAATAAAAGTATTAAACACACAATAATTAATTAACAAGTATTAAAATGACATGAAAATTTTGAAATTAAACATATAATAAAAACCTCAAACTATGTCATCAATTCTAACAATAAAAATATTTAGCCACTCATAATGTTGAAATCAAACACGCGAAAGTGAAAAAATATCACCAAAATTTGACGAAACGTGATTGATTTTCCAATTTATTGCTCCAACTTTAGTTGTCAATTTCTTCTCTCTCTGCAGCGTGAATAGGTGCCAGACACGCATGCTGTGTGTATATATAATATGTATTAATCAAATTAGCCCCCACAATTCAGCTTCTATTTTATTTCAATTTCATCCTCTGTTTCTTCCAAGCTGCCGACCTCCAATTGCGTGTATATTATGAACTTCACAGCCTCCAATGTATATGTTTCAGCCCCAGCAATTCCAATGTACAAATAATAAATCAGGCCACCGTTTGTACATGAATATATATAATATTTTCAGCCCTCAATTTCTGCCTCTATTTTCTCTTCAATGGCTGCCNTCATGAATATATATAATATTTTCAGCCCTCAAAATCTGCCTCTATTTTCTCTTCAATGGCCGCCGGGTTTCTTTTATAATTAGCTGCCGAAAAACTGTTTTCTCCCCTAATTCTGTCGGCTTCTACTCTTTTTCTAGATATATATTATTTATATATTGCAGCCCTGTTTAGTCCAATTCTAAAAGCTCAACTTAATTAAATTAATTATTCTCTCCAAGTCCTCAATTCTTTTGTGTACTGCAAGTTGATCCTTAAAATAAATTTCTTTGTGCAGCTCATACTAATTTATTCCTCGCACTTTGGATTTTGTCATTTTCCCTCTATTTTACATTATTTTCTTCAATTCTTGATTAAACATAAAGTTTTATCTACAAAATACAATTTAACAAAAATTAGGTAGAATTTAATTTAAAAGACAATAAAATATCATGATTTAGCGTCACGAATAAGTATAAAAACTACACTTATCAAATTGCACTCCTATAATTCTGGATGACTGGCAGTAAGAACTTTTTATAACTAGTTTCTAACGATTCTGACTGTAATGAGAAGATTGACATCATGTTCAAGCAGTTTTTACTTAGTGCGGGAAATTAAATAGCAAATTAATACTTGGACACCAAATATAACGTGATAAAACCCAATGGAAAACATCAACGACCCCTATGCCACGAGTAAATCAATCCACTAATTATCCAATTTTTGTAATTTCGCAAAATTAATAAAAGAACAATCAAAAGAATTAAGAACAACTCCATTTGTTTCTTCTTCTTTTGACTAACACATCGGTTTGATTTTATCACTATTTCTCTATTGTATTCTGCCGCAACAATCACTTGGATTAAGAATTTCAGTTCTTAATTTTACGCCAAGTAGCTCGATCAAATGATGTGATTGAACATTCAGCACAAGTTG